AAAATAATAATAACAAAAGTTTTAATTAGAGAAGATTGAAAAGTATAGTAGCATATATAATTGCAAATTTGTAATATTTTTTTAAAAAATTGCTTTAGTCTAGTGGTTGATGTGTATGTTTTAAATAGTGACAAAGCCCGGGTTCGAGTCCCAGAATGTTCATTTTTTAATAATAGAATCAAAACGACGTCGTTTTATCATTTTAACGGTTGACTAAGTTATATTACGATCAATGTAAGTTTAGGCACGTTTTAAAAAGTTCAGGTAGTATTTTTGCATTATAACGTAGTTCAGGTCGTATTTGGCACTGGATGTTTGTTCGAGTTGTAATTGACACGATTGAAATTGTTTGGGTAGGAATATGCCATTTTCCCGTGAGAGGAGAGCTAATCTTTTGGAACTCTTTTTTTTTTTTTTTTTTTTATCTTTTTCCTTCAATTAAATTCTTTGTTCAACATTGTGTTAAAAAACTGCGTGTATGGGTTCGGGTCGAGATGCAATCGTAGATCTGGACCATGGGTCTGACTCGTAAAAATTTGTCGCAGGATGGATTCGCATCGAGTTTTTCTAGGTCCATAAATTTATGAGCCTTGAAGGACAGGTTGTTGCGGGACTGGGTCTTTTGCGGGATGGGATGAAGCGGGAACCAAACGAGATTACAAGTATCCGCATTTTTCTTCTTCTTCATTTCACATTCTACCTTAACAAAATGTGAGAGATCAAGTGATAATAATGTGATTCGTGTGACTTTCCCAGAGAAAATGAAGGGAGCTCCGGCCATAACGGTTCGAGTTTCGATAATGACGATTCGAACTCCGACGATGATGACTCGAACTCCTATGATGATAATTTGGGCTCCAAGGGTTTTTTATTAAAAGAAATCTCCTATATATTAATCTTGGAGCATTACAACATGTTTTTGTAGACACATGTCATCACCGTAATCATTCTTAGAATCCTTAGAAAATTTAGTTGGTCCATATAAATATATACTGTACTTTTTATTAAAATAACTATTAAAATAATTAGTAGTGTACAAAACAATATATTTTCTTTCCTTCAATAAAAGCTACGAGATTACCAAATATGATTAGCATATATATATATATATATATATATATATGCAATTAATGATTATGAAAAAAACACATTTTTGTGTCCTCTTTTTCTTTTAATTTTACATTATTAAAATAAATTAAAGAATCACATTAAATATATAATAAAATCTAGCCTTGGAAGGAAGGCGTGTTAATTCGAACCGACCCAATATAATCCAAATCCGAAAGATATATGATTATTTTATGGGTTGTAGGATGTAATACAAAACCGACCGAAACCGATATATTATATCCGAACCCGACCCGTACTTACAAATTTATTAAAATGGGATTTAGGAGGTGTTATAAAATAGAACCGAAATCCGAAAAATCCGACTCGAACGCCAACGGATACCCGAACGTCCATGCCTAGTTTAATTAGTCAAGAATTATGGTTTAGTTTTTTTTAAGGAATGGTTTAGGGTTTGAGGAGCTGTGTGAAAAATATTATTTGGTTGATAATTTTCTACTCGTTGGAGCTTAAACCAAAGTAATAACCTGAAAAGGCACTAATGAATTAATGATATTCTAAATAAGTTTTAAAAATTTATGAGGTAAAATTTGGAGCAGTTGACGAGAATTTGATATGTAAAATATATACTCTTACGATCTTTTTTTCATGAATCTTAAACCAAATTAATACTATTAAAGGTTTTACTGAATAGCTTATAGATACTTCATTTTTCTAATGAAAAGTTTCTGCAAATTCAGCCTTTTAGTGACTTGAAAGGGATATATAGTTACAATGATTAGTGTAAGTTTATTGTCATTGCTTTAATTTTGATTTTTGAGTATGCAGATTCTAGATTCAGCTGTGATAGGTCAATCGCGACTAGAGTTTGAACTGTAAAATTGGACCATGAGGAAGACTTAAACAATTGTAAAGTTATATTAACAAAAAATAATTGTTATTTTATTATATAAAATTTGATTCTGCACAGTTACTAATTAACAAGATTGTGAAACATGACAAGAATATATTTAAGATTGTGACATGTGTTAAATTATATCATACTTAATTTATATATAATTATTTAGATAATAAGAAAAAATGAGTTTTGTTTAAAAAAATTATGTAATAGTAATTTTCTATTTTTAAAATCTTAAATAAAAGATATTTACAAAAACAGTATTTGATGATATTTTCTTTTTAATATTATTATATGTACTAAAATATCGATAATGGGAATGTGTTGAAAGCTGGGAAAGGTATCAAATTGGGTTGATGAGGAGAATATGTCGTTGTGGAAGAATGGGAAAGGTAAATACAAAAAAAATATTTTCTACTTGTGACGCTTGGCATAACATTAGAGAAAGCTGAGCAAGATAGGATATATATAATTATTTTGCCCGAGGCAGATCCATTTCTTTTTCCTTGAAATATACAAAAGATTTGGAAGTAAAATTTTGTTACATTTATCATGACTTGGTTATTGTTGTGCTTGTTATTGTTGTCAATGAAAACGAGTGTAATGGTCATCCCACTGGTATAACTAGCAGAAACCTGTTGAACCGATTGTAGATAACCAAAAAAAGAAACCGAGTGTTCTGGACATCCCAAGTACATAATAATCATGACAAAAGATTTCTCAAAATCACACATAACATCAGCTTTATTTTACTTCAGGTCATGATAAAACATCACAAGTTTTTTTTAAGTTGCAAAACATTGGAAAAGGACTTAATAAGTGGGATTAGGCTTTGTGGTTGATAAGCTTCTTCTCCTTCTGAACTTGATGGGATGTGCTTAGCTATTCACCATCCGATGAATAGCTACTTGGTATTATATACACAGACATTAGACACAGATAGAGCAAGAGAGTACCTTGATGATGGCGACTTAGGCATGGTGGTAATAACAAGAATGTCCATTCACTACAAGTTTGAGAATTAAATCAATAAAGAGGGTAAATACTACTATTACTGTACGTAAATATATGTATATAAAGCAAATTAACCTTCCAGTTTCAGGCAACCCGTGCTGCATCCATAGACAACTCTTCCCTCAAGGAAAAATAAACCCCTCAGAGAGTAGGATCTGATTCACACTGAAGAGAAAAAAAGAAAGAAGCTTTGGTTTTGGTAAGCTCGATCTGATAATTTCATTTAGGACATGAGGCGAGCTAGACCGCAAAGACTTCAAGGCTATGACCCTGAGGAGATGGTTGGAGAATGATGGTAAGGGTCAGATGTTATATGTAACTTGTTTGTAACCTGTGTCTGGATTTGAGATTAAAAATCTCCAGGACAGGACACTACTGTCTTTTACGTGGAGGAAGTTTAGAAAATTGTTTTCAAAATGCTCTCTCTGTATAGTGAAATACTTCAATGCTTCCAGTTAAGAAATTCAATTCAAGTTTGTTCTCAATATACAAAATTAAGAAATAAAATGGGATAATGACAAGAGAATGATCAGCTAGAAGAATAAACCTGATGAAACTTATGCAAAATAGCTAGCGAACGGATTGTTGTATATTATAACAAAACAAATCGAATTATTTGACATACAAGCAAGTAGATAATCATGATAAAAGATTCCTCCAAAACCAAATCACACATAACATAAGTAATTCAAGTAGAAGATAAAGCATTGCAAGTTCTTTAAGTCATGAGGCTTTGTGGTTGATCATCACGAGCTTCTTCTTCTGAACTTGATAGGAGAAGCTTAGCTATGCTGAAAAAACATTCCAAATATATATGAGGAAAAATTAATGAAAAAAACACCTTATTTGAAAGTTAGAGGGCCAAAATAAAAAAAAAATGACA